TAAACAAAGGGACTCCCAAATTCAGCAGGTCTGGGCCTGGGCGCCAGAGCCCTCTGAGTCCCTCCCACCCAACTCTACAACACATCCCTAAAGTATAAAGAGGAATTTAGCTGACTCCTCATTCTCTGGAGTAATGGATTGAGTTGTCTCCCATAAAATAAGCATTGTAAGTCCTAAACCTCTATACATGTGGATGTCATCACATTTGGGACGAGGATGTCAATACACAATGTGCTTTAAACCGACCACTGTTGAGATGAGAAGCGATTAGGCGGAGAAGCTGAGAGGGGAAAATATGCCTCATGAAGAAACCGGAGCAGAACAGGGCTACCAGGGGAGAAAGGCCTAGAGCTGGTGCCCTGAATTCAGCTTTCCAGCTTCCTGTGAAGTAGCCGGTGGTGCCATGGACTCAATGTGGTGCTACTAATGAAAGGTGGGTGGTTCTGATTTACCAGTTGCATTCCAGGGGAGAAAGATGTGGCTGTTTGCTTCCATCAAGACTTTCAGCCTCAGAAACCCTGTGGAGCAGTTCTACTTTGTCCTAAAAGGTCACTAGGAGTCGGAATCCACCGGATGGCAGTAGGTTAGCTTCCTGTGAGAGAATTTGATGAACAGTATTTGATGGCTGCAACCTTAGACTGAACCAGTGAACATGGAGTGACATCTGATGTTTGGGGAGCACGTGACAAACCACCGGCATGTGAGCTTAGAGCTGAGCCGAGTCAGGCTGCCCTGCCCCACAAGTCCCTCCCCCAGAAGCTTTGGGGAGGAGCCCTTCTCTCTCATCTTCGGACCACCGGTTGCTCCAAGGGCAGGACCTATGCCTCCTTCTTCTGTCCCCCTCTGTTCCTGTCTCTGGCACTTAGCCCGGGAAGTGGTATGTGCTCATTCATCAGCTACTGTGTGAAGAAACACGCATGTTTGCTGACCCCCATCCAGGCAGAGGATGACAGAGAAGAGCTGGGTCAGGAGACAGGCTGGCTTGGCTTCTGTGGCTCCCACACAACAAGCCCACCTGCCAGTGGATCACTTCCTCCATTTGTGTCAGTTTTTCCATCTCTAAAGTGTGAGTGGTAGTGATGCTCTCACGCTTGTTATGATCCGAGGCAGCGAGCGAGACGCACTTGAGTAAGGTGCTCTGCAAGGGTGAGGTGCTTAGCATCCTGTCTCAGTGGGGACTTCCAAAGGTGAGAAAGAACAAGGAGAGGAAATGAACCGCCACATCCCCTCAGACTGTGGGCAGGTCAGTGACTGCAAAGTCACGAAGGAAAAGGTCACTCACGCTGTACTCTCTGCACAGGATCCTTGGGAGCCAGCAAGAATCAGACACACGATAGAGACCCAGTATAAGGCAACAGAGAATGGTGGGGTCTGTGGCCAATTGGGAATGACATACATGCTTGGCTTACTTTTTCACTGAAAGTTTAAAACAACTCCAACTCAGACTCAACAAAATGTATCCTGTGGCCTGCAGGTCTGAGACCCCTGCACTCTGCAAGGGCAGGGACCACCATACTCTTCTATTGCCCACAGTGAACATAGCACCTAACCCTATTCCTAACACTATTCCCAACTCCAACTCACAGCGTCCCTATAGGACAGAGGGGGACTGCTTCCAAGGCTGTTAAATCTTTATGTGAGCAGACTGCCTCATCTGTGGCTACTGGGTTCAAACTGCCAATCTTTCCATTAGCTGCCCAGTGTTTAACCCACTGCACCACCAGAGCCCCTTACATAGCTCCTGTTAAGTGCTGTCAAGTCAGTTCTCACAGCGACCCAGCATAGGGTTTCTGAGGAATGGCTGGTAGGTTTGCACCACCAATCTTGAGGTTAGTAGTCTAGTGCTTACCCTACAGCACCACACCAGGACTCCACATAGCTCCTGTTGTTGCTAAGTGCCATCGAGTCGGTTCCAACCCATAGCGACCCTGTACAGGGTTCCTGAGGCTGTAAATCTTTATGGGAGCAGAAAGCGTCATCTTTCTCCTGTGGAGCAGCTTGTAGTTTCGAACTGCTGACCTTAAGGTTCGCTAGCACCTGGTAAAATCATGTTTCCTCGAGTCTATTCCACCTCACAGCCACCCCGTGTACATCAGAGCAGGGCCACACTCCACGAGGCTTGCAATGACTGGTGTTTCAGAAGGAGATGACCAGGATTTTCTTTTGAGGTGCATCTGGGTGGACTTGAACCTCCAACCTTCTGGTTAGCAGCAGTGGCACGTTATCCATTTGTACACACACGCCTGCCAGGGACTAGCACACGGTTGTTGTTAAGTGCCTGCTGTCAAGTCGGTTCAGATTCACAGCAACCCTGTATAGTGTTTCTGAGGCTTTAAATCTTTGAGGGAGCAGAAAGCTTCATCTTTCTCCCACAGAGCGGCTGGTGGACTTGAGCCATGATCTTGTGGTTCACGGTCCAGTGCTTATCGTATGGAACCACCACGCTCTGTAGCACATGGTGGACACAATCTAATCCACAAATGAATGCATGCAAGAGCAGATTAATCAGTAAGCATGGCAGGCAGTTCAGAGTAAGCAAGGCACTCGCTGGCTTAAATAGCCTTATTTACTAATCTATAATTCTCAATAAAAGCTCTGGTAGTATAGTGGTTACGAATCGGGCTGTGAACCTTAAGGTCAGCAGTTCAAAACTCCCATCTGCTCCATGGAAGACAGATGAGGTGTTCTGCTCCCGTAAAGATTTACAGCCTAGGAAACCCTGTACAGGGTCGCTGTGAGTTGGAACCGACTCCATGGCACATCATGACCGAATTCGTAATGAAACCCAAATAAAGTTGTTCACTACAGATGTTAAGTGCTGTGCAGTAGGTTCCGATTCACAGTGACCCTGTGTAGGGTTATTGAGGAGTAGGTAGTGGATTTGAACCACTGACCTTGCAGTTAGTAAATCAGCAGGTTAATAAACACAATTAAGCTTGTGCGTTCCTGGATGGGCTGACAGAGGAGTTGGAAAGGGTGCTGGAAGTGGATTCCCTATGCTTCTGACTCACTTTCAGTATTGGTTCAGGAAGCTGGATTATATGCCTCACTTCTGGGATCAGCTGATGGAGATAGCCAGACAGCAGTGAGCTGGAGGAAGTGTCCAGAGCCCACCCTGGTAAATCAGCTATGGTTACGGGGCAATCTCTCCACTAACTCAGCCATTTCCTTTATTCCAGGGGTCGCCACCCCAAAGGTGAACCGGTTTAAAAGAGAAAAAGAAGACATTTGTGTGGCCCCCATCACTGCCATCTGTAGGGGAGTGAGGGGTGCGATGTCTCCTTCCCACATGTTCCCAGTCTACACGCTGAGAGGTGAGCATGGGGTCTGTGTGGTTGAGCAGGATTTCTTGGATGACATTCTCAGCATCGCTGTCTCCTACCAGGGTTCTGAAGATAGGAACAGAAGACCCAGGAGGAGGCCTGTTGTTGGAAGCTTAGGGGCGAGTTGGAGTCCCTCTGTTGAAGAGATCCACGTTTTCTATTTCTAATAATTACCCAGCTAAGTGACTCAATTCTGTCGTCCCTTCCCCAGGCCCAAGATGGAGGAGGTGGGGGGCAATGGATGGATGAGGCTGGAATGTGTCAGGGGACCCCCAAGAGTCCACACTAGAGAGCATAATCAATACCAACACTGGCCACCCCTGTACAGTTGGTGCTGACTCACAGTGACCAGTAGGAAAGAGTTGAACTGCTCCCTAGGGTTTCGGAGACTAAACCATTACGGGAGCAGACTACCTCCTCAGCGTTCTCTATAGAAGAGCTGGGCGATTCCAACTGCTTTCACCAGCAGTGATTATAATGTTGAGTGCCTTCCAGTCAATTCAGACCCATAGTGACCCTGTATATAGGGTTTCCGAGCAGCAGCTGGTGAGCTTGAACTCCCAGCCTTTCAGTTCAAACCAACCTTGCAGTGTTTATATGAGAGGTTTTATGCAGAATACCTCACCCCCTTTCTCTCTGCAAAGGGTCCTGGTTTGATAAAGTTATGCCCAGGGTCACCTGGATGTTGTACAAGTCTTCAAATGGGGGAAGCTTAGGGTTGGAAGGCTCAGGAGTAACAGATGAGGTTGGTGGGTTTGTTTGTGAAAACAGGAGTCAGGTAAGCTCTGCAAACTGGCTGGGGTGAGCCTGGCTCAGTACTCACTCTGCAGAAAGGAGACATGGCTACTCGGGTCCTGGGTTCCGCTCTAAAGAGTTACCTGGACAGGTATGTCTGCTTCACAGCCTCCAGCCAGGGGAGCAGACTTTCAGACAGCGTTCTGTCCCCCTGGTGGAAGCCTATGTCCCAAGTAAGCAAGTGGGTGGGAGTCAAGAAGCAATTGAAGAAGGGACCCCGCCACCCGACCAGACCCATCTTCAGCATCTGTCTGCGGCTACCCATTCTTCAACACCACCTTGCATTGCCGTGGGGACCCTGAACCATTTCCCATTTGTCTTTTTGTTTTTACTGGTTGATCTCTCGTTTCTGTCAAGACGAACTATGATCTGTGTTGCATGAAATGTCACAGATTGTGGGCAAAGCCCATCCAACCCATTCACAAGAAAGAATCACAATCCTTTGATTACACACACCTACCGTGCCCCCCACCTCTAGAGGTGGTCAGAAATTCATTGCCTTTTTCCAGCATGGAACTTGCTCTCCAGAAATACAAAGGGGCTCCAAAAAGTTTGTGGAACATGGAAAGAAAAGACAAAGGACTATTTCCACTTACTTTTCTAAGCCCTTGATTATTTAACCCAAAAGGCTCTGGACAGGCAAAGCCCCTGGGGTGACGGTGGGGTGGGGCCAAGTTTGTCAGACCCACTCATTCTGGAGCTAATTGGTACAGTGATTATGAGGAAAACCCAGCGGCAAAGCCTTAAAAGTCAAATTGCTTCAGTGTCTCGCCTGGGGCCTCACACGAAGTTTAATCAAGCTGTAAGTTGCTAAAAGTCCAGTGTTTTAAGAGTCTTTCCTCACCCTCATGTGTGTGTGAACTAAAACTTCAGAGCTAGTTGTTTTTTTATGTAAGATTAGCTATCATGCAAAACTTACTGGTCAAGCAGTAAATAAAATACATGAATCCCATGGAAGGGTGTTTGCATGTTTCAGTCTTGCAAATAACAAAGCAACTATCCACCCAGGTGGGTCCTGTTAAAAGTCTGTGGCTCCTTCAAGCTGCGACCCTGGCTTTCTGGTGGGGGCTCATGTGTTATAAATTCTTGAAGCTCTTTTAGCTGTACTTTGGGCATCAGGCGAGTCTTCTTCCTCTTCCTCGGTTCGCTTGTGTCTTAAAAACAAGTCAGACTTTAAGAAGCGGCTGTAGCTGTCATACTTCATAAGATTGAAGATCTAAGGAGGAAGAAGAAAATGAGTCGGAAAGCTGAGGCTAATCCAGACCACAAATCATCCTATCAGATAATGTATTTTAAACATTTTCCATGAGTCAGAGAGGGCAAACATATACAAGACACCCACAAAGCAAGCAAAAGAAGTCACGTGGCAGGCAGAGGAAAGGTCCTGGATGTTTCTGGTCAATCTGGAGTGTTCTTATGGAAGAATACGAGCAAACACTTGTTTACTTTTCACTCGAGTCACACAGCACTGGTCCATACCCTTGTATCAAGACATCAAAAAAATCTCTGCCTTATTCAGATAGCAGGGACATATTTCCCCACAAGTTTGAGTTACAGAAAAGGGACCACTGAGACAATGGTGCCAAACAGAAACATTGTCTTAGATGCTGCCAATATTTAGATCCCCAGGAAGGATGGCATCAAATAAACCCACTCTTTTCACCAGAAGCCAAATGGAACTCATTTAGCGGCAGTGCAGTAAGCTGCTTCTATCCACAGTTCTTTAATTCCCACCAAACACCAGTTTGGGCCCTGATAGGGCTGAGTGAGAAAAGGTGGGAGAAGATGCTGATAGAATGATCTGATTGTTGTAATTGTTAACAGTTGGTTGTGATTGTGAAAACTTAGCATTCTAATGTGGGTTTAAAATGAGCTATCTCAGAAGCCAGAGAGGGGAATCTCACTACCATCAAAAAGAAAAGAGCCCATTGTGGGGATTCCTGAACACTGAATTTCCTCAACCCACAGACAGAAGGCGTGATACCAGAGGAGTGGCAGAGGAGCCGCAACCAAACCAAGAGCCAGAGCATGAGATACAGCAGTGAGCTTCCCAGCCCACAGAGCACGTAAAACCGAGTGACTCTGGACAGAAAGCTGCCTTGCAGAGTGGGGTGTCTCCAGGTGGTTAATTGGGGAGCCAGGTTTGCTGACCAGCAGAGCTAAAGCAGAGTGCCTTTGGGTTCGGTTTACAGCAGACTGGAGTGCCCTTTGGACATTTATCTGAAGCCCTCAAAGAGCTTGGTAACATTGCTGAGCAGGGCAGAGGCCAGGCTAAGCGGCCAAGGGCCAGAGAGAGGCCTGTCCATGGGCATGGCTGAGTCTAAGGTGGTCCTGCCGGGAACAACTGTGCCCTGAGCATTTCTAATTCTGAATTGTAACCTGTGAACTTCCCTAAGAAATCCCACAACTGTGAGAATGGAGTGTGAGTTCTATGTGACCACCGCACTGAATTTTCAAACCCAGAGACAGCTGGTAGGTTCTGTTGTGTTTTTTTCATCAATGCTGTTAGCTGCTTTGAGTCGACCCCCCAACTTATGGAGACCCAGGGGCAGAATACCCAGGAAGCAAGGTAAGCATGAACTTTCTTGTGCTTCAGTGAGCAATGTCACATGGGTTTCATCACATCAGATGTGATGCAAATCATGTGAAAAACTGTTCACTACATATTAGGAAGTAAGTACAAGGAAGCTCATGCTTACCTTGTTTATTGAGTACCCTGTCCCTATCAGGGATTGTAAATGTGAAAAGAGACTGATTTTGTAGGAAGATGCTGTGGGGTTGGGAGAGAGATGGATACCAACCACCCAGAAGTAGAAACAAAATCTCTGACGTGTTGAAAACATGTGAAATTGTTCACTACCGATTAGAATGTAAACACGAGAAAGCCCACGCTTACCTTGCCTGTCGGGCAATCTGCTACTCTGGGGACCTCACACACAATGGAACCAAACACTGCCTAGTCCTCTGGACTCTGTGAGTGGGAATCAACTGACCAGCAGGGGACAGATGGCTGATTATCAGGGGCCCTGGTGGCACATGGGTAAGTGATCAGCTCCTAATCAGAAGGTCAGCGATACAAACCCAAAGTGGTTCCACAGGAGAAAACACTGAGCAATCGACTCCTGTAAAGTTGATGGCCTTGGAAGTCCTCTGGTGCTGGTGGTTGTGTGCTGTGGAGTCGGTTCCGACCCATAGTGACCCTGTGCAGGGTTTCCGAGGCTGTAAATCTTTACGGGAGCAGAACGCCTCCTCTTTCTCCCACGGAACAGCTGGTAGTTTCGAACTACTGACCTTGTGGTTCGCAGCCCGATTCATAATCACTACGCTACCAGAGCTCCTTTGGAAGTCCTATAGGGCAGTCCTATTCTGTCTTATAGGATCACTGTGAGTTTGCATGGACTCGACAGCACACAAGAGCAACATACTGATGATCTGAGGAAAGCAGTAGTTTAGTATCAGAAATCCAGCCTGCCATGAGGACGCCCAGGGTTTGATCCCCAGCCTGGGCACAGCCACTACCCATCTGCCAGCGGATGCTTACATGTTGCTATGACACATGAACAGGTTTCAGAGGAACTTCCAGACTAAGACAAGAAAGAAAGGCCTGGTGATCTACTTTGGAAAATCAGCCAACGAAAACCCTATGGATCATAAAGGTCCAATCCACAACTGATAACAGGAATGGTATAGGATCAGGTATCATTTCAATCCACTGAGCATGGGGGTTACCTCGATATGGGGCTAATAATAACATGTTACTGTTAAGTGCCATCAAGTCGGTTCCGACTCACAGCGACCCAGTATAGGGTCTCCAAGGAGTGGCTGGTGAGTTTGAACTGCTAACCTTGCATTAGCAATCCAGTGCTTATCCTACAGCATCACACCAGGACTCCATTAATAACACACTAGCTATCAATTTTGCATCAACCTTGTAATGTGACTTACTGAGATTTGGCAAAGTTATTAACACAAAACAAAAACTCCAAGAAAAGAGAGAAATCATACTTAAGGTTGAGGGGGGTGAGGAATGCTATTGTCCCTTGGGCCTCCCCCAAATGTGCCAAGCAGGTATCCCTATCGTTCACCATGTGCATTACTCAGCCCTTCTCAGGCAAGAGAGCCCCCAAAGGGAACCTCCAGATGCCCACTTCATTCACAGCCTGGAATGGACACTCTAAGTGTAATTAATGAAACCGGTCTCGTGAGTGCCCCACCTGCAGCCTTCATGTTATCCTCTGGCACCTGAACCCACCATGTGAGCAGGATGCGGTGTCTCATCCGAGCCTCGGCGTGGGAGCAGGCATCCTGTTTGCCTAGAGTGGCTCTGAAGTGTGTACTTCAAAGGAGGGAAGGGAAGGGCCCACTAGAGCAGGTGGGAGGGGAGCAGAAAGCCACCTTGACTGAGTGGGAGACCCTCGGAGGGGAGGGGCCTGCTAACTGCTAACAGGTGCATAAGGGAAGCTCTGTGAGCGTGAGAGCAGCCTGGGGCTGACCACGTCCAGGGCTGCTCCCAGCCACCTGAAGTAGGATCTGAGGCAAGGAGGGTGTTGCACCCGATGGTCTCATCGTTCTGGGCTCTGAACTGCCTGGTCTCTACACATGTCTGCTGGCAGGCTTCCCACAGGGTCTCCTGAGAGCAGGGTTTGCCCAGTACAGAGACAGTGCTTAGTTCTGAGGAAGTAGAAACTGCTTCCAAACTATCTCTCAAGACAGTGGCCAGATCTGCGTGTGGCCACTGACCACAGCTTTGTTTATCATAGAGGCCAGCGGCCACAATTGGGCTGCAGTAAATGTTTACCACGTGATCAACAACAGCCCAGTAACCCAGTGTCACTGAGTCTGTCTGCACCAACTTACACCAATTCTACAGGACAGGGCAGAACTGCTCCATGGGAGTGCTCCTGAGACTACAAATCTTTACGGGAGCAGACAGCTTCATCTGTTTCCTACAAAGGGCTGGTGGGTTTGAACCAACAAACTTGCAATTAGCAGCCCAGCACTTAACCTGCTGTGCCACCAGAGCTCCTTAGCAACAACGGCTGGGGCTGGAAAGAGTTGCGAGATGGCTCAGGTCCTGCCCAAAGTCCCCGGGGCCACACACCCAGTCTCTTCATTTAATCCTCACCAAGGACGAAGCTGAGCTCGGATTCCCACTTTGCCAGTTTGATGAGACAGGCTGCCAATGCTAACAGCTGGCTCTTGGAACACTTTCCTAACCACTGCCCTCTATGGCCACCCAACACTCCCTATCATTAAAAACCAGCTCTGCAGAGAATACAGAGACTAAGCAAAATGAATGCAAAATAACCAGATACTCTATTCCAAACCCCACCCAACACCAAAAACAGTGATCCCAATTATGGTCTGTGTGTGTGTAAACAGGAAGTGTTGTTGTTGGATGCCACGGAGTAGATTGGATGCCAAATCACAGCGACCCCACGTGACAGAGAACCACCCCATTGGGTTTCCTACGCTGTCATCTTTTGAGGGATGGATCACCGGGTCTTTCTTTTCTCCTGGGGCAGCTGGGTAGATTTGAACCTCCAATCTTTCAGTTTGCAGCCCAGTGCTTAAATGTTGTGCCATCAATGCCCTTAAGTAGGAAATAAAATACCTGCAAAGTGGGCCTACTGATTCTGCCTCACTCTATTGGAGCGCAGGAAACGTGGTGGTCCGAGTGGTCCCAGACCAGCTGTGATAACACAGTATTTAGCTGCTAACTGAAAGGTTGGAGGTTCTAACCCAACAGCCTCTTCACAGCAGGAAGTTGTGGCAGACTATTTTCATACAAATGACAGCGCTGGAAATCCTGTGGGGCAGTCCTCCTCTGTCCTGTAGAGTTTCCGAGTCAGAATCCACAGGAGACAACAGGGGGTTTGGACTTAGGGGGTCCCAGATGGTTCTATGGACTTCTGGGATGCTGTTGGATAAGCACAGGACTGCAAGGTGGGTTTGAACCACAAGATTGGTGGTTCAAACTCACCATTTGCTCCTTGGAAACCCTATACTGAGTTGCTATGAGTCGAAACTAACTCGACGGCACTCAACAACAACATCAAAGATGGTTCTATAAAACTAGGATTCCCTAGCAGAGAGAATTGATCTTACCCAGAACTGAACTGTGACCATACCCTGGCCAACACGTTAGAACTTCACGATATTTACAGAGAAGACCCTAGAGTCAAACCTGGAGTGGAGGAGGGAAGGCCCAAGGTG